TGATCGATGGAAAATGATCCTTTACCAGGTCTGTATACTGCCCAAGTTCCTACATAGCACACCACGACCTTATTATGTTTCGCTGCTAAAATAACACTTATATAATGGATTTCTTTATTACATAAATTTTGGTCTAGTGTTTGATTCCATACACGAATAAAATAAAAATTATAAAAACTTATATTAGTTTTTTAATGCATAATAACTATTTTGGATAGGTCAGTTTTTGTTAAACTTTTTACACTTGCTTGTAAAAGTAAAGTAATACCTGTATAAGCCTCGGTGTGATGATGTAAATTAAAAATTGTAGCACATAACAACACTGATAATGCCCCATTCCACCCCATATTGTTTCGATAGGATATTTTTATTTAAATAAGTAAATAAAAAATTATTATTTTGGTGTGAACCACATTCTTAAAACTACCGCACAGTTAGAAATTACCATTTACCGTTATTTTTTGTTAGCCAAAGCAAATTACTGTTGTATATTGTCTTTAAGTCTTTGTCTGTTACGAGCAAGTTCTTGATAAAATTTTTAGAGGAGGTGGCAAATTATTACTTTCACTGCCTAATTATATTGTTTCTTTCTCTTTTCTAGCTGCGTTTCGGTCTCTTGCACAAGGTAGACGAGGTAAACGATGAAAGTGTATCACTGTACAAGAATGTAAAAGACGTGTTTTATCAGAACCTGTTTGTTATTTAAATGATGTCTTAAGGAATAAAATGTAAAGGTATTCTTGTTGAAGAAGTGGATTTATTTGGAAAAAAAGACGCTCTATTCATTATTATTTATTTGAAATACTTCTCTTTTTTTATTGTAATGTAGTTTCTTATAATCTTAAAAATAATTTTACAAGGCCCCTGAACTTTTATTTTAACGATTTTGGTAAATAATATATTTGCAAAAGGTATAAAATTTTTCAGCAAGTTAAAAATGAAAACTGTTTTTTTGTGAATCCACAACATACCTGCACTATATATCGGTTGAACAAGTAAAAAAAATTACTTTTTATATATTTTTTTCCGAATTTAAAATGACGATTTTCTTAATATCAAATTAACTTGTCAAGAGAGCGTTCAAGTATTACGTAAAGAATTTTATTAATATCGAACCTCCCTCGACAAATTTGTTAACCATTCTCTGAATAATAAGACTTAAAAAGTAACGTTTATCTTGATTATCAAGTTATTTTCAGGATCAAAACACAAAAACACTACCCTTCTTTAAATTAAACAATTATGCATATANTATTTAGCAGTTTATTTAAAATACATCCCAACATTATAACAATAGGAGCACAGCTTTTTTCATATACTGTAGAAGAAGCATGATTGTTTTTGGTCTTTTCATCATCAGGAATTTCATTTTTGCGATTTTCTTCCACTTCTCGAATGGAAATTTCAATTGCTTTATTAATGGTTTTCATAAGTGGAAATTTTTCGACCGAGCAATCACCGTGAAAATCATCGGTATCCATGGACCATACCATGATTCCTCCTAAACTTTCTGCAATAGCAAATCTGACTTTTGCCACAATAGATCTTTCATTATCATATGAAATAACTTTATCGTCACTAACAGCTAATGGAGTTTGCGAATCTTCATCCCAAAATGTCTTCCAATTAGCTGTCGTATTTTGGAGTTCTAAACAAATCTAAAGGAAAAACTTTAAGATTTTAGTTTCAACAAAAATTGTAACTATAAATACCTCGTTGTAACCCATAAATCCATTTTCTTTTGTAAACGGCCCCTGGAATCCAAAACTTCTCGCCACCGCGCCAAATTTCGGTTCTTCATGAGAATCCAATGGCCAAGGTTCAGGGGTCAAAAAAGTTCTTCCATACAAAGGTACACCAAGAACTAATTTTTCTTTAGCTGCTCCCAGTTTAATTAAGTATTTAATAGAATATTCCTACAATGGTACTAGTGACAAAACTACCTTTCTTAGATGTCACCATTAATTACTTACAACGGTATATGTGTCATTAGTATCTTTGCTTCTTAGGGGGGCATTTGGACCAGTCTTCCCATCCCAGGCCCCATGATAATCATAACACATAACATGGATATAATCTAAATAATTTGATATGCCTCCTACATCATAAGCGACATCAATGGTATCTTTACCAGCCCCAATGGCGGCTGTTAAAAGCAAATTGTATTTCCTGAATGCTGATTTTAATTCCTAAAACATAAACGATTTTGTTGAAAAAATTACTTATAAGTGTATTAATTTTATTTGTTTACTTTTACAAGAAGCAAGAAGTTATGTTTATCTTCTTGATCTCCACCTCTCTTTCCGGGAAATTCCCAATCAAGATCTAAACCATCGAATTTGTATTTTCTATATAGTAAATAAAAAAATTTATATCAAATGTTTTCATAATTTACAATTTGTCATCATATTCCTTTGAGTATTTACCTTATAAAATCTATAACGCTACTAATAAATCTAGATCTTCTTTGGGCACTTTTAACTAATGCTGAATAATTAGCCGAACCTTCGTTCCATCCTCCAATTGCTAGAGATATTTTTATATGTGGATAAAAATTTTTAATGTTTGTCATCCGTTTATATCCACCTTTTCCGTAATTATCGGTTAAATCTTGCCATGCGTCTAAATAATAATAAATAATGTAATTGATTGTGGGAAAAGTTCTTTAATTTTGCAGGGCACCGTATGTATCGTACCCCGATACTTTTCTATGTACAGTACGATACAGAAGTATTTTGAAACATAAGCTTACCCAGAGATTTAATGCTATCCTTTGCTACATCTAAACCAGCAAATGCATAAATAAGATGTGTACAAACAGTAGGATCAATATGATCGATGGAAAATGATCCTTTACCAGGTCTGTATACTGCCCATGTTCCTACATAGCACACCACGACCTTATTATGTTTCGCTGCTAAAATAACACTTATATAATGGATTTCTTTATTACATAAATTTTGGTCTAGTGTTTGATTCCATACACGAATAAAATAAAAATTATAAAAACTTATATTAGTTTTTTAATGCATAATAACTATTTTGGATAGGTCAGTTTTTGTTAAACTTTTTACACTTGCTTGTAAAAGTAAAGTAATACCTGTATAAGCCTCGGTGTGATGATGTAAATTAAAAATTGTAGCACATAACAACACTGATAATGCCCCATTCCACCCCATATTGTTTCGATAGGATATTTTTATTTAAATAAGTAAATAAAAAATTATTATTTTGGTGTGAACCACATTCTTAAAACTACCGCACAGTTAGAAATTACCATTTACCGTTATTTTTTGTTAGCCAAAGCAAATTACTGTTGTATATTGTCTTTAAGTCTTTGTCTGTTACGAGCAAGTTCTTGATAAAATTTTTAGAGGAGGTGGCAAATTATTACTTTCACTGCCTAATTATATTGTTTCTTTCTCTTTTCTAGCTGCGTTTCGGTCTCTTGCACAAGGTAGACGAGGTAAACGATGAAAGTGTATCACTGTACAAGAATGTAAAAGACGTGTTTTATCAGAACCTGTTTGTTATTTAAATGATGTCTTAAGGAATAAAATGTAAAGGTATTCTTGTTGAAGAAGTGGATTTATTTGGAAAAAAAGACGCTCTATTCATTATTATTTATTTGAAATACTTCTCTTTTTTTATTGTAATGTAGTTTC